CTTGAATGGGGTCTTACCATATAGTAGTTCATGCAGGAAAATACCAAATGTCCACCAATCAACTGCACTGCCGTGGCCTTCTCCCTTGATAATCTCGGGGGCCAAGTATTCATGAGTCCCAACAAATGACATAGAGCGTGCCGAAGTAGGTTCTGCGACTAGCTCAGGCAGTGCATTAGCTGGAGGCCCAGTCTCGGCTCGAGGCTTAGGTGATCTTTTCTTGCTTTTTTGATTAAATATACGGGGAAGGAAGCATGCTGGTTGAATGCATACAGATGTGGGCTCAATACATGCTGGCTGCACACAGAATGCGGCTCCTTTTTTAGAAGGATCGCCAGACGATGTCCTTATGAGCGTGGGTGAAACTGCACATCTTAGGGATAGGTCAAAATCTGAAAGCATAATGTGGCCATCGTCACGCACAAGAACATTTTCAGGTTTTAAGTCTCTGTACACAACACCAAGCATGTGTAGATATTCAAGCGCCAGTAGAACTTCTGCTGCATAAAACCTGTGGCAGAAACGCGGGGTTTGTTAAAGTTTGATTAAGGAACTCAACAGCTTAAACAGAAATGTGAGGGTAAAGATTCTAAAATCTCCCAAATGAAGAAAATGTGGAAGATTGTTAGCACGAAAAGCCCTTTAATAATATTAGTTAACCAGACTTTAATAATATCAATAGACATGTCATTACATATTTACCACCTTCTCTTCTTAAGACCCAATGACTGGAAAAAACTTCCAAGTAGGATCAAACTATTTGGTATGGGAGGATCCCAAATATGGATTGAGTGGGACAAACATCAAAATCCAAGAGTGATAAATATCTAATTTGGTCTGAGTTGATATGACATGGGAAACAATCACTTTTTTTTTTGGCAAGTAAAGGTGCAATTAATGGCAGATAAAGAAATTCTTTTTGTGGACGAGAGTTAATAAAAAAAGTCATATTAGTAACCATATCCTCTACAGGGGAGAGCTTTTTGTTTGTCAGGGTACCAGGCTCGAACTCTTGACCGCATGAAGAGGACTCTCTCCTCTACAGGGGAGAGCTTACATGTTCAGAAGTCAGAACGATGGTGCAAGAGAAATGGATGTGATAAATCATAACATCTAAGGAATGCCAAAATAAGCAGAGGCTTATGCTTATGTCAGGACTACATGTGAAAGGGGAGGATAATTTTTATGCTGCATATTCTAGTTCTAGATAGAATGATAAAAGCATACCTTGCAGCATATTCCGAAAAATGCTTCCCAGGTTGTCGCTGTCGTAGAGTATGTAAATCTCCTCCAGGACAATATTCCATGACCAAACATGAGAAGCGATCGGTCTCAAAATGAGTGTACAAGGTTGGCAAGAATGGATGGTCTAATAACTGCAGGATTTCTCTTTCTGTCTGAGCACGAGTCAGTTTCTTCCTGCTCGCAAGTGAAGCCTTATCCATCACTTTCATTGCAAAATAGCAGCGAGTCCCGCTAAGCTCAGAAAGATAAACACTGCCAATGTCTCCACAACCAAGTCTTTTGAGTAACCTAAAGTGACTCATTCCTAATATACCATCACGTGCCCGAATCGCGAGAATAGCCTTCCATCTAGGATCATTTCCTTTGTGAGGCTTATTGGCACTGCCAGTAATGTTACTCCAATTACTATCATCACTAAGCCCACTGCTGTCACTTGCTCTGCTAAGGCTAGTTTTACCGCTTTCAAGTGAATCCCCACGAATGCTCCCTTTTGTGCTCTCATAGTTTCTGTCCACACTAAGCATGCCATCGCTCATGATCACATCACTCCTATACGTGCTTGTGCAACTGTTGACAATGCTCATAGATCTCACCACACCAGTACTATCAATGCTACTAAGTGGGCTTACATTGCCACTTGGAGGCAGCGATGCATCCCAAATACATTCTTTCTCTTCGGAGTCAGGAGGCAGACTTGCTTCTGTGTTTTGAGATGGACGAGGAATTGTAAACGGAGAGGAGATTACACTCAGATCATTTGGCTCTTCAACCAAGCTCTCTGCAGGTGAAAGAAGAGATGGGCTCGGTTTCACATTAGGAACCCGGATTGAAAGATCATCTAGGAAAGGACCCTTCAAAGACATGCTTTTCACTAAGCATTTCCCATCTGCTTTTTTCTGACCAATGGGTACGTACACTGGTCTCATTAGGTCTGTATCAACAGGTTCCGGAGGATGACTCGCTCCATGAAATGAAGTAGAGCCACTGTCTTCAAGTGAATCATCACTGCGCTTGACTGAACCAGCATCTATCATGAGTTCCTCTTCCTCCTGATACGAGGTCTTTCCTTTCCATGTTTGTCTCAGAACAGACAAGTCAAAATCTCGGAAGTCCTGCACATTGCATTTAACACCGATCTCCTTCCTGGAAGTTGAAAAGGCATGTGTCACCTTAGCCTCTAAAGGGAATTGCCTCGGTGGTTGTTTTACTTCATGTATCCTTTCCATCTCCGGTTACTATTAACATCACAGGTACCTCACCAGAAGAAAGCTCTGAAGAAAGCGCAAAAATCAGTAAAACATTATCCACACATGATTGTACTACAAATCAAATCTACTAGGACCATTTCAATTACAAGTATTACAGCACATGAAAGATTTCTTTTTCACTAAAAAGGTCTTCATCCTCTATGAACACATTAGAGTAAACACAACCACATTACAAAATCTTCAAATTTCAGAATTTTAACGCGCAGTTTTACTATGTGATGTGGTAAGTAATAAAGATATTTTGTAGTAAGAGACATCCAATTAGGCAAATATTATTATTTTTACAATCACCAAAATATTCCATAATTTTAACAAGTTCCATTAATTACACAATGAGATAACCCTCAAGAAGCTCTCATAGAAAACCTTAAGTCCCCAAGTGACGTGACAATCAACTTCTAAGAAAACCATAGCCCCCCTAAAAAAAAAAGGAAAATAGTGCTAAATTAACTGTGTTTCTCACATTTCACAGTAACACTCAATGAAGCATCAGCAGATCTAGCTTTCGGCTCGATTATATAAAAGTGAAAAAAGAAATTTAAAATGTGAATACATAATAAACGTGCCCACTGCCCACTTTAATACCACTGTCTCTATATTGGGTGGAAATTTTTGCCCTAAACAGCGGAACTACTTCAAAATACTAGAACCAAAAAAAGAGACTCAAAAATGACACTCCCATTAAATAAATTAAAGAAAGCAGAAATTTACCAGTACAATAGGAGATCTGTAAAATCCTCAACTGGTTCTTTATTTTCAAGCTAGAGCTCCTACTATACTTCTTTCTCTGTGTTTGTTACTCTCTCAAACAGAGCATTTGATTTTTTTGGCAGAAAATTGATTTATTGTTAGCCAAACGTTGATGCTATATGGCTCTACAGGCGAAAACAGAAACGATTTGGCTTCAGTGGTGAAGATTTTGGTGATTTGGTTGCCTTTAGCTAGGTGTTGTTGTATTTGGTAAGGCTTTAGTCATGTGTTCACTGTCATATGAAAACTGATGATAACACAAAAGTGAAAGTGTGTGCTTTATTTATTTATATTTATTTTAAAGAAGAAGAAAAAGAGGGAGAGGTTGCAGTTATGAACTTGGGTATTGGGATGCACACATACACAAAAATTGCTATTTCCCCACTTTAACTACTCTCTCTGGTCCACTCTTAATTACGTACTAGTATTCATATCCGCATGTTATGCGAAAAATGTTATATATAATTTTTCATTAGAAAATATTATTTAAAAAATATAATATACACAAATAAACATGTAATGATATTATTTTATGAACATGTAAATGCAATCGATATCCATTGTTTTGCTTCTTCTATAATTTATTTATTTTTTAAAATTGGAAGTTCTCATCATATTCTTGTTTGGTATAGATAGATTTTGCTTGTTTAAAATTGAAAATTTTCTGATCATCCTCTCCTTGTTTTGCCTCTCATATTATACAAGATATATTTTTTTAAACAAAATTAGAATTTTTTTTTTTGGTGATGCACTTATTATCCGATCATTGTTTTGCCTCTCCTATTATATATAAATAAAAAATATAGATTTTATTTTCAATATAAAGTTTTAATTTTTATATTTTTTACTATGTTGATTGTGATCATTTCATTATTATATCTTTTATTTTGTGTGAATTGATAATTGTTTGACTCAAAAGATATTGAAACTTTTTTGAATAAATCAATCAAAGAGGAAGTGGTAAATCGTAGTCAAACTTAATTGATTCCAGACCAAGAGATTTCATAATAATAAATGTGTATGGGATGACGAAAATATCGACAATCTCATTAAGATTCAATATTGCCTTCTTCCTCAGTCCCTGAGGAAAGAATATTACAATTGTTTTTTTATGTACAAGATACAAGAATGAAGCTTTGTTCTTATTTTCCTTCTGTGGAAAAAATGGAGAGAAGCCTTCCCCTTGAAAGCCTTCCTGGGTTATATATATATAATTGAAATCCATTCACCCTCACCATGAATTGACGCGCTCGGGCCAGTGGTGCGTTCTGGTCGTGATTCCAGGCGTTGCTCTTTTCGATTTGTCGGATATTGTGGAGGAGAAATGAAGTGGACTCTATTGACTTCATTACCCGATTGCTAAAAAGGGGGTCGTGGGCAACCTGGTCGAGGTGGTCATATTTTGACCAATACAATTAGTCTCTCCATCTGTCGGGGCCATCCTTTATCGGGCTCGACAGATGGATCATGTTTGCAACGTAGTCGAGAGGAATCTGACCCCCAACTTTCTGTTCCTTAGTCGTGTTTTGTGGACTTTTTGGCGGAGTGGAGGTTTTGTTTCGATACTCGTGGACCGTTGCGATGATTTCGAAATTGAAACGTCGGTTGGCAATGAAGCGTTAGTTCGTGGATGCCACCATTATGACACACATACCTGGGAAATTGAAACGTACCGTGCCCTATCGGATTCAAATGGTGACTCTTGGGTTTCGTGCTCGGGGAATTTATGTCTCTTATAAATAGGGGAACTTGTCATTTGAGTAATTCACTTCATCATTCGTTTGAAAGAGTTCTTCAGATATCACTTTTTCTTATACCCTGAATTCTTGCTTACCTTCTTGCTCACTACAACTTTTAATCTTTTCTTCGTATCACTTTTTTCGGAGAGTTTTCTGCTAAAAATGGCTGGCAATTCTTCTCGTGATAATTTTCCTGTCGTTGATCCGGTAACAGAGAGCTCTGTTCAGGCCACCGGAGAAGTGAATGTGGTAGAGGATGAAGAGATTCCCTCGGTAGATAAAATTCTGCCTCGCCTAGGGAGGGACGCGACTGACTTCAGTTTCGGCGATAGAGCAGAGCTGGAACACGTCGCTTCCGTTGTGAGGGAAAGGGGAATTGTAAAGTTGAGGGAACGGTGGGGAATCTCCAGTTTCGTCGAGATTTGGCTGGCGGAGGGGGACGATAGAATTCACTTCGACCGCCCCGGATATTGTGTGTTCTACGCCTACCCCTTCATTGTAGGGTACTCACTTCCTCTCCCCATGTTGGTGGTAGATTTCTATCGCTACTACGAGGTGTGCCCTGCCCATCTTTCTCCTTTTTTGTACAAGTTGTTTCTTATGCTACTCAAATATGCGGAACTTGCCGGTCGTGAGGTCACTTTGAGCAATATGCTTAGAATTTTTGCTCCACAACTGATTCGAGGTACGATGATTCATGCGCGTCCTCGGGGATCAAAGGGTCTAGTGGTGAAGATGGACGATAGAACTAATCGTCGTTTCTATGAAAATTACTTTTATATGTGGACCGAGCATATTGTGGCGGACCCGACTGGATTCCTCGAGAGATGGAACTTTGCGCGTAAGTTTGCGTCTTTAATTAATGAAATGTTCGACCATTTTCCGCGAATGCTAAATTGCTTTGTTTTTCTGCAGCTGAGAGATTGCCCCTGCCGCCTGTTGAAGGGATTCGCAAATGGGTGGAGGCCATTCTTCCCACACAGTGGGAGTTCGTACCTGGTTGACTTTCCATGAGAGGTTTGGACGCAAGCCTCTTACAGGTGAGATGATGTCCTTATCTACTATTTCCTCCCTTTTTTTGTTATTTAGCCTCTTATGCATCGTTCGTCATTGTCAGGGAGGGTGCGGAGAGCAAGGGCCCCTCAGCTAGCCTTTCGCCAGCCGGCCGCATTTGCTCGTCTTGTCCTGTACTTGCTGCACGCCCTTCGTCGAAGGCTGCTTCGGTTGAATCTGCGGCCTTGGTTACTCTAGCGAGGGCCACTTCTCAGGACGAGGTCCCGACTAGTGTCGTCCGTCCTACGAACGAGTCACCGTCGACTGGGGAAGAGGAAGGGCCATCGAAGAGACAAAGAGTAGAGTTTGAGATGGCGCCTCCGACAGTGATTCACCTGGATGATTCTCCACTGACGGGCTTAGGAGAAGGTGTTGTTGCGGCGTCTTCCCTAGAGGCAAAGCGGATTGTTGAAATTGGTGCTGGCGGTCAATGCTCGGAAACTCCGGCTGTCGCCATGGCTCAGCCAGAAGTCCTTGCTGTTACTGGCGATCAACGCCTTGTCGTGGTAGAGAACCAGACCTCTGGCGCCGTTGTTGTGATTTCTGACGTGCCCTCCTCTTCTGCAGCGGATCGTGCTCCTCCTTTAACAGCAGAAAGGGGAAAAGGCATGATGGTTGACGAGTATGAGTCCGAGTCATACCTGGATCCTGATAATGTCAGGATGTTCGAGGAGGGCCTTACTCATTCGGTGGTTCACGCGGGTGGATCGGCTCACATTCTTCAGATCCCTTCTAGCGTTAACCTCTTGGCGGAGGGGGAGGATCTGGTGCCGTAATTTAGCCTTTTATGTTTAGAAGCTGAGAATGAGTCCCTTCGAGATTTCCCCGATGCTGAGTTGAGGGATGAGGTAGCCGTCATGGGCTTGAGGGTACGTTACATTTTGTTTTTGCTTTAGGCTTTTCCCCTATTCGAAAGTATTAGTTTAACCTCGTCCTTATGATTTTCAGACATACATGGTAGAGGTAGAAAACATTTGCAGGGCCAACGTCCGGACAAGGACTTTCTTAAAGATGCTGGAGAAGTATCGTCGCTACCGCGACAGATGTCACGATATGCATGAGCGGCTGAGGACGGATCCCCGTAATCAGGTTCTCGATAAGGAGTTCAAAAAAAGGGACCAGGAATTGATGCAAACGATCCGTAGTAAGTGCGAACTCGAGGAGCAGCTTCGCATCAAGGACGAGGAGCTCGAGTTGGGCAAGGGGATCGCGGCGGAGTATGAGCATTTGCAGGGTAGGTTGAGGTCAATGCAGTCAGAGATAGACCAGAACTTGGTCAAGGTTGAGGCGATGTGTACAGAGTGGATGAGGAAGTTGACCGCGATGGAGAGCAAAGTCGTCGGTTTGGAGAACATTGAGAGTGCTTGGTCTGAGGCTTTGGCGACGGCATCGGCCTTGGAGGACACCATCCACGTACTCCAATCTGAACAGGAGTCGGAGAGAGTGACAGCTACCCTTAGGGAGGCAAGGCTCGAGGAACGCATTGGAACGATTGATCAGGAGGCGTCGATTCTAGGAGATCGAGTCACGGCCTTGGAGGCGAAAAATGCATGACTACAGGCCCAGGTTGCGTCATCCTCCGCTGTCGTTCCTCGCCAAGTGCATGAGCTCTGGGTTTATGCTGAAGCCCAGCGGGACATCTATAAGAGTTTGTAGGAGGCGGGCACCGTGGCTGAGGCTGCTTACGAGGAAGCGCGAGTGAAGGCTCACGAGGCTCGCATCAACTGTGGATACGATGCGGCGACACCCGAAGCCAATAGGGGTGCGGATGATGATAATGATGAGCCTCGTGGAGATGGTGACGATAGTGGCGATGATGATAGCGGTGATGACGCCGAATGAAGAGTGATGTCCTTTGTTTTTATTTTTATTTTATTTGTTGATTGTCGTCTGTTCGTTCCGTCTTCTTTTTCTCTTCTTCTTTCCTCTTTTTTTTTATTGGTTGGCCTGGGCCATATGTAAGCGGCGATAGCCCGCACTATGACATTGCTTAAATAAAAGTTTCCTTCTTCGCTATTTGCCTTGTACTTCACTTTTTATTCTGATTGTTCATGGCCTTAGAGCGAGATAGAGGCTCGCCCAACGAGTCCCGGTTTTTCTTTTCCTCTGGTGGTGGTCAAACTCTTTTCCTTTTTGGTGAAGGCTCTTGGCCTTAAAGGGAGTTATTTCGAACTTATCGAAATAACAGCCCGTCGTTGTTCGAGCAAGGTTGAGCCTTCCTTTTTTCTTTAACGGCGAAGGCTCTTGGCCTTAAAGGGTATTATATTGAACTCATCGAAATAATAGTTTGTTGATGTTCGAGCAAGGTCGAACCTTTCCTTTTCTTTGATAGCGAAGCCCCTTGGCCTTGAAGGGTGTTATTTCGAACTCATCGAAATAACAGCCCGTCGACGTTCGAACAAAGTCGATCTTTTCCCATTTCTTTGATGGCGAAGGCCCTTGGCCTTAATGGCTGTTATTTTTAACTCATCGAAATAACATCCCATCGACGTTCGAGCGAGGTCGAACCCTTTCTTTCGTTTGAT